CTTTATTAAAGAACAAACGGCAGCAAAAACAGCAGCAGCAGCAGCAGCAGTTGCTGCTGCTGCTGCAGTAGTAGCAGTAGCAGTAACAGCAGCAACACCAGTTGGAAGAACTCTGAATTTGTTTTCTGATAGACAAAAACAGAACACAAAACAACAAACCCCTCAAACAAACACAGAAAATGATCGTTAGAAGGCCGCTCACTAATTCATTTGATATGCCTATGACATACGTATATACATATATACATCTATACATATATATATATATATATATATATATATATATACATATATATATACACATATATATATATGTAAATAGACTTATACATAGATAATGGATGTTGATCATATATACTATACCTATTTGTATCTAAATATATATAATATATATATATATATATATGTATATATATTATATGCTTGTCAACGCATATACTTACGTATCTACACCTTTTTATATAATATGCGAATGCACATGTATGTTGGTATATATATCCATATATACATATATATATATATTAAAACATATATGTATATATATATATATATATTTATATTCACATACATACCCATATATGCATGCAAGCTCACAGCCGCCCTCTGCATGCAGAATCTGCTACAGTAAGAATTAAAGTTTGAAATAATAGTAAGCAACCCGCAGATTAAGAGAAAATAAATTGTATTATAAAACAAATTAAGTATCTCTGTCCTCTATTTACTTGAATATACAGACATCACAACTACAACTTGCAGCATGTAAACAAACAAATACTGCGTAGGGGGCCCCCAGAGGAGTCCACCATAGAAACTTATTTGTATATATCTGCTGTTTTTTTCTGCGTTTTCTTGATTTATTGAATTAAAATAGTAGAAAATAAATAAATTGATTGAAATTATTTTGTATTCTGCAATTAAAGAGGAGAGAAAAAGAGAAAAGCATCTGCGAGGCATCTGCCGCTGAGCGGCCGTATGTTTGTTTGGGTCTGCACGCGTTTAAAATGAAAAAAACGAAAAATATGCAAATTAAGAATAAGTAATTTGTTTTAATATTCATTTTTTCGAGTTTAGAGAATTAAATAACGCCAGATACCCACGACTTGCAATATCTGCTCGCCTTTAGTTCTATCATACACCGTGGGGTGTATACGCAGCTCTTTGTTTATTTATTGATGATTTTTATTGCTTCTTTTTTTCATTATTATTGCACCTCTGATCTGACGGATTAATTTGTTGTATTTAATCCGACTTCTTTTATCTTTCTCTCTTCCCTTGTGTTGTAGGCTGTCGCAGTATCGCAGCCTCTCTTTCTTTTTTCTTTTTTTTTTTTTCTTCCTCTCCTTCTTTCTCTCAAGAAGAAGATGGATTTTAAAATAGCTGGAGAAGGCGGCAATGCCGTGCTGCAGACTATTCACGCAAGCGAGGGTGGGAGAGCAATTCGTTTGCTGCAGCAGCGGCAAAAGATGCAGCAGCATCTGCAGCAAGCGAAGGAGAAGCTAGAAACGAAGGGAACTAAGCGCAAAAACATTAATTGGGGGGGCTCTGCAGCCGATAGATTAGAAGAAGAATTCAAAAAAGAAACGATTGGTCTCGTCACAGCAGAGGCCTTCAGGGAAAGAAGACAGAAACTAGAAGATCAGATTCGCTTCGGTACGAAGGAGCTCTTCGTTGGGTAAGCTTTAGCACATGAAGTAGCAGCAGCAGCAGCAGCAGCAGCAGCAGTGCAGCTGCAGCAGCAGAAGGAGTAGCAGTAGGTGCAGCAACAGAAGCAGGAACAGCAGCAGCAGCAGAAGCAGCAGCAAAAACAGCGGCTTCTTTTTTATCTTTGAAATTTCTTCTTGTTTCTCCTACTTTTGAATCGTTGGGTTATGTATAACACCATAAAAGATATATATCTTTCTCTATATATATATTTAATATTTATATTTTACATATACATTTACATTTACATTTATATTTACATTTATATTTGTATTTATAAACATATTCTTTCGCGGCATTGTTTGATGTGTGCAGCAAACTGCAAGAGAAGAGAAAGTTTGAATTTAAGTTAACTAAGAGTAAATTATCTTTTGGCGATGAAACAGAGGCTGATGAGATCCTCGCACAAGACAAAGACACACAAAATGATGATAATCAAACAGACAGCAGCAGCAGCAGCAGCAGCAGCAGCAGCACTGCTGCAGCAGAAACACAACAAACGAATGCTGTTAAGACGCCTAAAACAGAACCAGCAGCAGCAGCAACAGCAGCAGCAGCAAATTCTCCTGCTGCTTCTACACCCCAGGTGAAAGTTAAACAGGAAGAAAACGAAGCGAGTTCTCCTGATGCAGGTAATTCAGGGTTTAGGGTTTAGGGTTTAGGGTTTGAGGGTGCGTAAAGGTGTGCTCGCGTTCAGACATAAATAGAAATAAGTATAAAACCTATTGTAGGAATATATTGAATAAAATAAACATAAAAACAAAAGATAAATTAATAAAATTAATTTAAAATAATATTAAAAATAAATATATAAACAAATTTTGCAATAGGCGGAGGAAAGAAAGACGCGAAATACTCAAAATATTTTTAATGCATAAACATTATATGTTTTCTCTTTATGTATGTTCATGTAGTTATATATAAATATATATATATATATATATATTATTTGAATTTATTTATTTATTTATTTATTCATATGTTTATTTATTTATTTATTTATTTATTTAATCATATATTTATTTATTTATTTATTTATTTATTTAATCATATGTTTATTTATTTATTTATTTATTTATTTGTTTGTTTATTTTTACAGTTGCTCTGTATGTCCAAATTAAATTATTTAGAGCTCAACTTGTTGTTTGCTGGTTTGCTGCATGCAGTTAATCAATCATCACCATCTTCATCATCATCATCATCATCATCTTCTTCTTCTTCTTCATCAGGTTTATTTAAGCTGCGAAAGAGAATAGGAAAGGACCCGAGTGTAGACACGAGTTATTTGCCTGTATGTGTTTATTATTTTTATTTGTTTTATTTTAATTCATTGTTTATTTATTATGTTGTTTATTTGTTTATTTGTTTATTTGTTTATTTGTTTATTTGTTTATTATTTAAATATATTACTATTTTGCTTGTTTATTTAATTTATCCTTTAAAATATTCAAGTACGACAACATAACAAAATAATGAATATTTTAATGTTGTGTTGTTTTTCTGCTTTTGTTTTATTTTGTACGATATAAATAAATAAATATGAGCGTCATTTATTTATTTATTTATATTAATTCTTCTTCTTCTTTCTTTTTTATTTTGTTGTCTAATTAGAGTTTGTTTATATATAAAGCAAACAAACTCTGCAGTTTGTTTGCTTCGTTTGTTTTGTTTGTTCTTTTATTTTGTTTGTTCATTTTTCTATTTAAAAAAAAATATATATATATATATACAGGTATATATATATATATTTGCATATATATATATTTGCATATATGTATATTGTATGTTATATATTTTTTGTTTGTTTATTTGTTTATTTGTTTATTTGTTTGTTTGTTGAATGGGTGTAGGATAAAGAAAGAGACGCAAAGTTAGCGGCGGAGAGACAGCGACTGATAGAAGAATACAGAAGAAAAGAAGAAGAAGAAAAACGTAAAATAAATATAAATATAAATATAAATAGATGCCTATTGATCTCCTACACTGCCTATACACCTCAGTTGACGTGCATATACACCGCAGCTTAACTGTATATACAGGTTATACACTCCTTTAAACCCTAAGAAGAAAATACAGAAATATGCATTCATGCGTGCATGCATATAACAAACACAATATGCATGCATGCATGCAGAGGCATATGTATGCATGCATGCAGAGGCGTATGCATGCATGCATGCAGAGGCGTATGTACGTATGCATGCATACATGCATGCAGAGGCGTATGTATGCATGCATGCATGTATATGCATATGCATATGCATATGCATGCATGAATTTGAGGTGTATGTGCAGGTATGCCTTTAACAGTAACATTTTCATATTGGGACGGCAGCGGCCACCGTCGACGAATTCAGATTTTGCGGGGTTTAACTGTTGGTGAATTTTTAGAAAGAGCGAAGCGCGAATTAGAAAAAGAATTCGTAGAGTTAAGATCTGTACCCACTGAGAGCCTCATGTATGTTAAAGAAGATCTTATCCTACCTCATGTAAGATATATATATATATGTTTGTATATATATATATATGTTTGTATATATATATATATATATATGTTTGTATATATATATATATATATGTATATGTTTGTACATGTATATACGTTTGTATATATATATGTTTGTATATATATATATATATATGTTTGTATATGTATATATATATCTATATATATATATATATATATATACATAAACATATGTATGTTTATGTATATATATAGATATAAATGCGTGTATAAATGTATGTATCTGTCTATCTATCTACATGTATATGCATATAAATATGAATAAATATCTGTATATGTAATTATTATATATCTATATATATCTATATCTATATCTATATATATCTATATATATATATATATATGAACGAACAAACGAACAACAAAATAAATGAGTAAATGAATGCGAATAGATGTGTGTTTGCAGAACATAACTTTTTTTGAATTGATAAAGAGTAAAGCGCGAGGCAAGTCGGGGCCTCTGTTTCATTTTGATGCATTTGATGACGTTCGAGTATTTAACGATGTGCGCAAAGAAAAAGAAGATTCGCATGCAGGCAAAATAGTAGATAAGAAATGGTTCGAAAGAAATAAACATATCTTCCCCGCGTCCAGATGGGAAGTAGTCAGTCCACAAACCCTAAACCACAAACCCTAAACCCTAAACCACAAACCCTAAACCCTAAATCACAAACCCTAAACCCTAAATCACAAACCCTAAACCACAAACCCTAAACCACAAATCCTAAACCACAAACCACAAACCCTAGACCCGTAAACAATAAACCACAGACCCTAAACCCTTAAACCGCAATCCTAGTAAACCCTAATCACATTAAACCCTAATCGATTAAACCCTAATCGACCGAACGATAAGCCCTAACGATAAACCCTAACGATAAGCCCTAACGATAAACCCTAATGATAAACCCTAACGATAAACCCTAATGATAAACCCTAACGATAAACCCTAATAATAATGCCTAATGATAAACCTTAATGATGAATCCTAACGATAAACTCTGTTGTTTGAATGTGCAGTTTAACCCAACAAAGACGTACGACACCTACACCATCAGCGGCGACGAGCGAATGTGGAAGGGAATTGCAGACCACAGCAACTTCTTACCCTGGCCCTAATATATATATATATATATATATAATATAATATATATATTATATATTTATATATTTATATATTTATATGTATGTATGTATTTGTATATATGTACAGCGAATCATGCATGCAGAAATGCATACAGGGGTTTCTGCATGCGGCAGTGGATGCATTTCTGTGTGCAGTGGGGTCGTTGCATGCAGTAATGCATGCATGCAGTCATGCATGCGTGCATGCATGCATTTGCTCGTTTGAAACAAAACCCCCTGCCACCAAACGACCAATGCATGCAAATACAGTTCTGATGGAAGGGGCAGTCTGCAGTAGCTAGCTGTAATAGCTAGCTGTTGTAACTAGCTGTTTTTAGCTAGCTGTTAATAGCTAGCTGCAGGGGCTAGATGCAATAGCTAGCTCTAATAGCTAGCTGTACTAGCTAGTTACGGCTGCGATGGCTAGCATGCATGCATGCATGCGTGCATGCATGCATGCATTGACGTTTCTGTGTTTGTTGAGTACTGAAGAAGCCACGCAGAACTTCAATAGATGAAGGCGTGGTGCATGCATAAATAAAGTGTCTGTCTTGCGTTTGCTAATAGGGCTTATGTTGCCGCCCCGTGCCTTCCTGCAGCAGCAGCAGCAGTAGCAGCAGCAGGAAGTGCTGCAGCTAAAGATACGAAGTCTGCTTCCCTGTAGCATTGCATGTCTGAAGTTGGTTTTAGGGTTTAGGGTTTAGGGTTTGCGTGTAGCAAGCTAGCTGTTTAGTGCTGACTATCTATGGTGCTGTTGCAGACACAAAAAGGGGGTTGTTGGTAGCAATTGCTGCTGCTGCTGCTCAAGCAGCAGCAGCAGCAGTTGTTGTTGTTAGTGTGCTGCAGCAACTGTTGATTGGCTCTGTCTCTGTCTCTTCTATCTTTTCTTCATCTTTATTTCAGCAGCCCCAGGGGCCTGCGCTGCCTCGTGCTGCTGATAGAGCAGGAGACAGGAGAAGAGTTTGTTGTATTTGTTTTAAAAGAATTATATTATTTATTTATTATTTTATATAATTTTTTTTGGTTTCGCTGCAGCGGGAGACAAACCTTTAATATGGCTGCGGCTTCTCGGTCCCGTTATATATAAGCAAGAAGAAAGAAATATAATAACTTCATCTACAAAACAAACACTGGAGAATAAATGCATTAAAAACAAATGAGGAGGCAAGACACTGCTGCATGCATTCAAACAAAGGCCTATATAAAAAAAATATATAAAAATATATAAATATATCAGTGCAATCCAGTGTACGCGCATGCACGTGGGGGTTTTTTAGGAAAGAAGGGAAATGTTTGGAAAATTCAAAATTCAAGAGATTTTATTCAATAAAGAAATATATAAATAACGTAAAGTTAATACCTTATTGCTGATTGAAAGGCGTTTACTCAGAGAAGACAACGATGGCTTCGTTGCTGCTGCGGCAGCCGCGATGAAGAATTTGTTTGTTGGCTGCATGCCCCACGTGTGTCTTTTTCTGGAATTGTTCTTCAGAATAAAAATATTTGAATTGAAATATCCATTTGAAGTCTTATGGGGAAGAAGGCAAAGAAAATAAGCGGCGATCAGATGGGTGTTCCGCACCTCAGGCTGGAAGGCAGGGGAGAAGAATCAGAGCAAAACATTTGAGGAATTATTTGGTTTTTTCTCGCCATATATTCATTTGGCCTCAATTTCGTGTTTTCTTTTAACTCCATTAAACTTGAACTTTCCATTTTCATGGAGGATCGCCGAATTCCTCTATTGGGAGAGTTTGCAAGAGTTGAGGTGTATGGCCAGCTCGAGGTACGGTAGCGGCTTTTCGCGATCTTCGGTATTTCATGGTTAATTTCTCTGGTTTTTTCGCCCAACCTGCCTCTAGACATCCTATGAATCTACCTCCTTCCTTATCTGCTAAAAGAAAATGAACGACGCCGCGGATCGCCGTCGGCTATTCGCCTCTGGCGCTCCTCCTGGAAAAACACCAGCGGGTCGTTGCATGCCTGATGCCTCTGGGGTAGGCAGACAATCTTTTGATTCAGACTCTTCTTCATCTTCTTCGTCATTCCCCAGCAGAAGCAAAAGGAAGGCTCCAGCAGCAGCTTTTTACAGCCCGCTGTTGGCGCTCTGTCTTCTAACGCTGATCACTTACATATGGAGACAGTGGAATATAAAATCATATTTTGCCTCACCACCTCCGAATGCATTTCCTTTTCTTCGTTCTTGGGGTACCGCTGCGTCGGTGTCTGTAAGGGTTACAGACTCAGCAGCAACAGCAGCTTCAACAGCAACAGCAGTTTCAGCAGCAACAGCTGTTAGTAAAGCTGATTCAACTACAGCAAACTTTGCATGTAATGGTTTATGCGGTGGAGTTTCTTTGCGCCGACTGTCAGACGGGGGTGGAGATGTATCAACAGGAGCAGCATCGATACCGATAGCTCCTTCCTTGGCGTTTTTCTCATTTTTGTTTTTTTTCGCGATATTCTTGCAGTGGTTAGTGTCGAAGATCCCAGTGTACCCACCTCCTGTATCTATTATCTGGTTTGTCTTCGGTATGGCTGCTTACGGTGTTGCTTCTATACCTGCTCTCTTACCTCCTCAGCCTTGGGAGACTCCGGGAGCAGCTGGCTTTGTAGAAACACCAGGAGGGTATCATGCACCTCTTGTAGGGCATAATATATTACAAACAGCTATATTAGAGACTCGGTTTATAGACAGCTCGATTGTATATTATGTTATGATGCCGATATTATTATATGAAGCAACTCAGAATATTAACTGGCACAAGTTTAAGAAATTCTTTGCAGGAGGTCTTACTCTCGCTGTTCTCGGTGTTGCTGTACAAGTAGGTGTTTTAGGAGTTTTGTTTTACTATACTTTCATCTCCAAGCAGTGGAAGGACATGGCTTGGATAGCTGCATTTCTTTTAGCTGCTACTCTCTCTTCGACAGACCCTGTCGCTGTCCTGTCGGTGCTCAACGCTGTAAATGCATCTGATAAACTCTGCACCATGTTCGATGGTAAACCCTAAACCCTAAACCCTAATAAACCCTAATCAACCCTAATCAACCCTAATCAACCCTAATCAACCCTAAACCCTAATATACCCTAAACCCTAATAAACTAATATGCCCTAATATACCCTAATTTACCCTAATATACTTTAAACCCTGATCAAATGCTGATCAAACCCTAGTAAACCCTAAACCCTAATATATCCTCATCCACCCTAAACTCTAATTAAACCCTAATGAACCCGAATAATCTCTAGTAAACCCTAATCAAACCCTAAACCCTAATTATTCTATATATCGTCATTATACTCTAAACCCTAATAAACCTTAATCAAACCCTAAACCCTAGTAAAACTCTAAACCATAATCATAGCATAAACCCTAATTATACCGTATAAATAGTGTTATTTGTGTGTTATATCTGGGGTTTTGTTTTGATTGTTTTCTGCACATTAAATATTCTTTGATAGTTTGTTGTGTATGGATTAGGGTTTAGGGTTTAGGGTTTATATGTGTGTATGCAGGAGAATCTCTGATAAACGACGGGAGCGCAGTATTATTATTTCAGTTCTTTTTCTTTTTATTACAAGGGGTGATGGAGACACCGTTCTCAACATTTTTGATGTTTGTTAAGCTGCTGTTTGTCGGGCCGGCGTTCGGCGTTGCCGTCGGTTTCTTAGGATATTTTTGGTTGTTATTTTTCAGAAGACATCCTTTAACTCAGTGTCTTGCATATATTACTTTTTGTTATATATCTTACTTTCTTGCTGAAGCTGTCTTCTCTCTTTCGGGGCCTCTTACTGCTGTTTGCTACGGCTTATTTATCAAAGCTTACGGTCATATTGCCCTTGATAGAGATGCACAAACAAAGCATCATACGTTTGTTGCAGGTATGTTGTTTAAGCGTAATGTTACAATTTGTTTCAATCTTTTCTACGCCCTTTTGCTTTATACTCCTCTTTATATATATATATATATATCTTCTTTCTTTCTCTCGCTGTTCTTATCGCTCTCTCTCTCTCTCTCTATATATATATATATATATATAAAATCTATATCTATATATATAATCTATATATATATACTATATATTCTATATCTATATATATAATCTATATATATATATACATATCTTTCTCTTTGTCTTTCTTTCTCTCTGCTTCTTTTACTTCCTGTGTTCATATCCAGTAACGCAATAGTGATTACTGTTGTGCTGCTGCTGCTGCTGCTGCTGCTGCTTCTCCTCTGTCTCTGTGTAATGCATCTGTTGCTGCTGCATCTACATCTACATATATATATATATATATATATAGATAAATATATATTATTATCTTGACGGTTTGGTGTGTCTACGCATTAAATAAATATATATTTATATATATATATGTATATATATTTGACCCATATATAATACATTATACTATATATATAACATATTCAGTATAATAAATAAATAAACAAATATATATATATATATATTTATTTATATTTGTTTGTGTGTGCTCAGCATTAGCTTTGATGGCGAACTGCACAATATTTATAGTGTCAGGAATTGTAACATACGGCATGATGAGTTCTGTCTTTACAAAAGAAGACGGGTTAACCTTTTGGCTGCATTTACTGTTAACTTATATTTATTTAAATGCTGCGAGGGTCTTCATGATATTCATCTTCTTACCCGTCCTCAGAAGGACCGGCTATGGATTGTCTTGGAAGGAAGTAAGATGTTTTATTTATTAGTATTTTCAGTATAAGAATATATAAATATATTAATATAAATATATTAATATATAAGTCTAAATATTAATATATTAATATATAAATCTAAATATTAATGTATAAATATAAATATACAAATATAAATATGTAGACATGTATATATATATATATATATATATAAATGTAGAAATGTAAATATAAATACGTAGATGTAAATATATTTATAATCATATATAGTTTTAATTATAACTGTAAACATAATTTTAAATATAAGTATAATTACTATGAATTATTACATATCTACCTCTTTCATCCCTTTACGTTTGCCGGTGCTTCTGCTGCGTGTGCTGCTGCTTCTGCTGCTGCTTCTTGTGCTGCTGCTGCTATTACTGCTGCTGCTGCTGCTGCTGCTGCTGCTGCTGCAGGCAGTGCTGCTTGTGTGGGGTGGTCTACGAGGAGGTATTGTATTAGCGCTGGGTTTGCGTATAGAGCGGGATGCAGACTTGGATGCAGAGCTGACGAATATATTATCTTTCTTTATTAGCGGCAGCGTCTTTTTAATTTTATTAATAAATGGGATGACGTTTGAGCTTATATACCGCTTTCTTAACCCTTATCCTCCTAAACCCTTTCGCAGAGTTTATCTTGAAGCTGTTATGCGAATGATAGACCATCAATATATGGAGGATAGAAAAGCCTTAGAAAGCCATTGGCTATTCAAAGGTATCATTATTATTATTATTATTTTATTTTATTTATTTTATTTTTATTTTTATTGTAACATTATTATTATTATTGTTTTATTTTATTTTTATTTTTATTTTACTTGTTCTCGTTATTTTACTTGCTTTGTTTTGCTTTAGAATTACTTTTGTAGCTTTATTTGAACTTTGTTGGTGTTTGCCCGTCTTTATAATATATATAATATATATAATATATATAATATATATAATATATATAATATATATAATATAT